TGCTGGGTAGTACTGAAAGGCCCCTGCAGTCTAGGCCCGGCCCTACAGGGAGGTTCCTGTCAAGACTCACAGGACATTTATTCCAGTGTCTCTACTCCAGCATTACATGGTGGAGGGGAACAGAATATGCCACCCCAAATATGCCACTGGAATGAAACATGCTTGAGAAATAGCCAGTGCAGAGACACACTGACCATCCTTTGTTCCCTAAACAGAATATAAATCTCCTATGTGAAATACACCCTTTTTGTACCAGGAGGGGAGAAGTGTCCTTAGCACCAGAAAAAGGAATTTAGGCCCTAGAATGCTGTGCAGAGAAACCTTAGTTCTTCACTATTGTAGTAACACTAAGCACATTGAAGCTCTCAGTTTTTCCCCATTGAGGATGATATTAGTGTTGGGTAATTCATATATGGCTTTTATGATCTCGAGGTATGCTCCTTCTATCCCTACTTTCTTGAGGGTTTTTATCAAGAAAGGATGCCGTATTTTGTCGAATGCTTTCTTTGCATCTATGGAGAGGATCATGTGGTTCTTGTCCTTTCTTTTATTGATGTGATGAATCACGTTAATTGTTTTGCAGATATTGAACCCGCCCTGCATCCCAGGTATAAATCCCACTTGGTCGTGGTGAATAATTTTTTTAATGTATTGTAGGATCCGGTAGGCTAATATCTTGTTGAGGATTTTTGCATCCATGTTCATCAGGGAAATTGGTCTATAGTTCTCCTTTGTAGTGTGGTGTCTGTTTGTTTTGGAATCAAGGTAATTCTGGCTCAGAAAGAGTCTGGAAGTTTTCCTTCCATTTCTATATTTTGGAACAGCTTCAAGAGCAGAGGTGTTAACTCTTCCTTAAATTTTGGTAGAATCCCCTGGAAAGCCATCTGGCCCTAGACTCTTGTTTTTGACAGATTTTTGATTACTAATACTATTTCCTACTGGTCATGGGTCTGTTCAAATTTTTATATTTCTTCCTGTTTCAGTTTGGTCGTGTATATGTTTCTAGGAATTTGTCCATTTTTTTCCAGCTTGCCCATTTTATTGGCATATAATTGCTCATAATATTCTCTTATTATTGTTTTTATTTCTGTTGTGTTGGTTGTGATCTTTCCTCTGTCATTCTTGATTTTAGTTATTTGCATCCTTTCCTTTTTCTTTTTGATCAAACTGGCTAGTGGTTTATCAATTTTGTTCATTTTTTCAAAGAACCTCCTTCCGGTTTCATTGATTTGCTCTACTGATTTTTTGGTTTCGATAGCATTAATTTCTTTTGTAATCTTTATTATTTCCTGTCTCCTGCTGGTTTTGGGTTCTATTTGCTGTTCTTTTTCCAGCTCCTTAAGGTGTAAGGTTAGGTTGTGTATCTGAGATCTTTCTTCCTTCTTTAGGAGGCCTGGAATGCTATATACTTTCATCTTATGACCACCTTTGCTGCGTCCCAGAGGTTTTGGGTTGTGGTGTTATCATTTCAATTGACTTCCATATACTTTTTAACTTCCTGTTAACTGCTTGGTTAGCCCATTCATTCTTTAGTAGGATGTTCTTTAGTCTCCAAGTATTTTTTACCTTTCGAAATTTTTTCTTGTGGTTGATTTTGAGTTTCCCAGCATTGTGGTCTGAAAATATGCACAGTATGATCTCAATCTTTTTGTACTTACTTAGGGCTGATTAGTGTCCCAGTATATGGTCTATTCTGGAGAACGTTCCATGTGCGCTGAAGAAGAATGCATATTCTGATGCTTTAGGATGACATATTCTGAATATATATGTTAAGTCCATCTGGTCCAGTGTGTCATTCAAAGCAATTCTTTCCTTGTCGATTTTTTGTTGAGATGATCTGTCCATTGCTGTGAGTGGGGTGTTGAAGTCTCCTAATATTATGGTATTACTGTCGGTGAGTTTCTTTATGTTTGTGATTAATTGATTTATATATTTGTGTGCTCTCCCATTTGGCGCATAAATGTTTACAATTATTAGCTCTTCTTCGTCTATAGACCCCTTGTTCATGATATAATGCCCTTCTGCATCTCTTGATACAGTGTTTTTAAGTCTAGATTGTCTGATATAAGTATGGTTACTCGGGCTTTCTTTTGCTGACCATTAGCATGATAGATGGTTTTCCATCCCCTTATGTTCAATCTGAAGGTGTCTTTAGGTCTAAAG